ATTAATCTGTAAATATGTATGTACTGTACCACAGCTGAAGTGTAGCAAAAATCACGTGTAAAACGACAGCCAATTGAGAGTCCCGAGAGTTATAACTGATGAATTGTCTGTTTCTAAATGCAAACCCTAAACGCTTCACTTTGGTCCAGTAACATTATTTTAACGTTAACGTTATATGTTGTACGTGCATATTCCGTTCCGTGAATATAGCGAAATGTGTTAGTGCAGTCTGCCAGAGTAGCCAGCTAGCGTACATAAGTTATGTCAGTGTCAGAGTTTGAACTAGCTTACGTTAACAGTTAATATTCATGCAAACTAAAAATGAAACCTCATGTCACGGAAAATAAAACTACCGTTACATACCGAAGACTTATCAGCCTGTGTCCTTCTCTCCCACTGAGGTTGACTTATTTACGTTCATTCATTCTATGACTTCCATTATCGTTATCTCGACCTGTACTAACGTTAATGACAAACATAGCTGTCAAATGTTCGCTATGTTCCGTTCACAGTTCCGCTCCCGGAAGGAAGAAGCTACCGTTTAGGGCGACCGGAAGTACTGTTTCAGAATAAAACAGTGGTATTCTTCTTCTAATGAATTTCCGGAAAGCTGTACACTAAAAGCGTAATGCTGCCCTCCACAGATAGGGGTTAACTGTTTATCATATATTCTGTCAAATTTAACACATTAGATTAATTATAATTATTTATCTATTGAATTTATTACATTTGTAACAAACAAATTTCCCCCCCGGAATCAATTAATTCTGATTCTGATTAAAAAATACCATGTACCAACAGAGATTAATTTAAAGATATTTTATTGCCACATTTTAGACTAGAGAAAATACATGAATTTGGAAAAATGTCTGAAGGGTTGGAAATAAAACAATTTACTGATTTCTAATGCCACCTTTAGATATTTAGATCCAACGCTTTACTAATGTGTCACTATAATGTAATGTTTTTGAGTTCAAATTACTTAATTTGGGAGCTTTTCAAAAAAAATATTGATATATGCGATCGTTTGTGTTTAAATCAACATATATTTCTGCCACCCCTTAAAGTCTCCTGATATATTTTAATTAACATTTAAAGATGTTAAAAAAACCCTGCAGTACTCCAAAGTACCCCCAGGGGTATGCGAACCCACATTAGACAAACACTGCTCAATACAGTCATATTGGGTGGAGAATTTTTAGGATTACTCTGCCAATATGGAGTTCCACAAGGTTCTGTACTTGGACCAATGCTATTTACTTTATATATACTCCCTTTAGGCAACATTATTAGGAATTCAATTCAATTCAATTAAATTTTATTTGTATAGCGCAAATTCATAACAGAAGTTATCTCAGGACACTTTTCAAATCGAGCAGGACTAGACCGAACTCCTTATAACATTTACAGAGACCCAACAGTACCACCATGAGCAAGACCTTGGAGACAGGGGCAAGGAAACACTGCCTTTAACAGGCAGAAACCTAGGACAGACCTTCAGCTTAGTGGGTGGTTCATGTTGACAGTTGGGGGAGATAAGAGAGAGAGAGGGAGAGAGAAGAAGACAGGTGCACAGGCGAAAACAAACAGTATTGGTAATGGCAGTCTGGCAAGGAACATGGCAGGAGGCCCACCCAGGATCATGAGAACTTGCCAGGACGATAAAGCACCAAAGAACTCCGGGGAAGAAGTGAAGTTAGTAACATGCATTAATGGGAATGAAATGAGTGCAGAAGAGAGAGAGAGAGGAAGGAGAGGAGCTCAGTGCACATGGCCAAATCCACCGATATTAGCCTATAGACATAATAAGGGGATGGTTCAGGACCACCTGATCAGTAACTATAAGTTGCAAAATACTGAAAGCTAGTGGAACATTTTCTGATGTTGTTTAGCTGGGATAATGTTATTGTTAGTAAAATGGTGAGGC